AAGGGACAGCAAAGCACCAGACAAGGGACAGCAAAGCACCAGACAAGGGACAGCCGAGGACCAACCAAGGACCAGACAAGGGACAGCCGAGGACCAACCAAGGACCAGACAAAGGACAGCCGAGGACCAACCAAGGACCAGACAAGGACCAGACAAGGGACAGCCGAGGACCAACCAAGGACCAGACAAGGGACAGCCAAGGGACAGCAAAGGACCAGACAAGGGACAGCCGAGGACCAACCTAGGACCAGACAAGGGACAGCCAAGGGACAGCCAAGGACCAACCTAGGACCAGACAAGGGACAGCCAAGGGACAGCCAAGGGACAGCCAAGGACCAGCCAAGGGACAGCCAAGGGACAGCCAAGGGACAGCCAAGGGACAGCAAAGGACCAGACAAGGGACAGCCGAGGACCAACCTAGGACCAGACAAGGGACAGCCAAGGGACAGACAAGGGACAGCCAAGGACCAACCTAGGACCAGAGAAGGGACAGCCAAGGACCAACCTAGGACCAGACAAGGGACAGCCAAGGGACAGCCAAGGGACAGCAAAGGACCAGACAAGGGACAGCCGAGGACCAACCTAGGACCAGACAAGGGACAGCCAAGGGACAGACAAGGGACAGCAGGGACCAACCTAGGACCAGACAAGGGACAGCCAAGGGACAGACAAGGGACAGCCGAGGACCAACCTAGGACCAGACAAGGGACAGCCAAGGGACAGCCAAGGGACAGCAAAGACCAGCCGAGGACCAGACAAGGACCAGCCAAGGGACAGACAAGGAACAGACAAGGCCCATCAAAGAAAGAGGGGAAATTTTGAATAGCTACTACTGTATGGATGATGTTCCATTGATGTTGTATAAACAGTTTCACTAAGCAGGTGTTCCCCAGGGCTCTGTATCTGACATCCTTCTTTTCAGTTACATCTTCAGCAAACACATTTTCATTGTTATGCAGACGAACCACCGACTCTACATTAGCTCCCAACCAAGTTCCTGTTTTTCCATCTACTTTCCTGTCAGACAGAGATTAGGTCATGGTTCTCGTCTAATTCTTTCAAGCTTAACAGCAAGCGAATTGTTGGCCTAGCTGAATATTCCCTTTAACAATTCCCTTTAACGACCCCCCTTTCAGAGACATAGACAGGTATGGGGCATTGCAGGCTTACAAAGAACCCAATCGACCCCCATTCCAAAGGGGGGGACCCGTTCATCCGTTTCTATTTGCATGTTTTCTAAACTAAAACCAGGCTTTGTTGGGCTGCTGGATAAAACCTGGAACTCAACGCTATTTCTGACATTTTGAATTGAAAAAGCTTCCTGGATGGAAGAGAAACGTCTTTAAACTTGAAAACTAAATCCAGTGGATTGATTTTAATTTTTTGGAACGACGATGACCTGGATGACTGGGAATCTGCACCAGCAGATTTCTGCTGTTTTTGCTTTTTCACACATTTTATTGTCACAGATGTCCTAAGTTTTCTAATCATTAAGGGTAAAAGCTCAGATAGATCATCCCCTCTTTGAGCAGAACTATTTATAACCTACTCTACCAGCCATTAAAGGGCCTCTGGGTTTGTCTCTCCATCATCAGGTTGTCAGATACATCCTGCATGAAGCTGCTGATGGAGAACAGAGCTGTTGCTTCCTTCCCTCTCCCTGTCATTCTGCCTCTCCACCCTAACAGGGTTTTAATGCAAGCTGTAGACATATTACTGGACCACAGACAGCTGGATCTCCCTCCAGGCCAAAGACGTCATTAATAAATGAAGGAAAATGAATTAAATTCTGTTCTCTTTTCAAAAGTTTAATAAGTTTATCAGATGTTTAACTTAGGTTTGTGCTGCAAAGGAGCAAACAATGGCTGCCTTCACTGGCTTATTCCCTGTACATCATTCTGCTTCATTCTATCTCTATTCTCCCACTCTGCAGAATCTGTTAGTTCAATCTCTAACGTTCTGCTCTCTCTGCTTTTCCTCATAGTAGCTTCATCTGGTCTGTTCCTGTTTGGCTGTGACTCCATCCTGGAGAGAAATATCAGCTGTACTGCTGCCATCAACACCTTTGTTTCTAGATGTTGGATCTTGGCCTGTTTTCCAGTGTAGTCCTGTTTCTCTGACTGTGACTAACTGGATGTGCTCTCTTCATCCTCTGACATGGGAGCTGGCTCGGAGCTCGTCTGCCTGGCTGTGTGTTTCCTGGACGGGGCCGCCTGTGGAGCTGGTTGACAGTTGCCTTTTGTATCTATGCTTCTTTTTCTATGTCTGCTTCTGTCTCCTTGAACCCCAGTGGGCCTCAGCAGATGGCCGCTCACACTGAGCCTGGTTCTGCTGGAGGTTTCTTCCTGTTCAAAGGGAGTTTTTCCTCTCCACTGTCGCTACAAGCATGCTTAGTGTGAGGGATTGCTGAAGAGTCAATGAGTCGATGCAATCAGCTGGTTTTCCTTAGATAGAAAACTTTTAATCAATCTGACTGGATGATCTGGTGAACTGGAAAGTGTCTTGAGATGACATGTGCTGTTGATTGGCGCTATAGAAATAAACTGAAATGGGCATCATTGTTCAGCTGGAGTCCGGAGCCACAGATGTTCAGTCATACTTTAATGATGTGATGTCACAGCCTGGGCTAAGAGGACCTTCAGCTCCGGCTCCCACATAGCAAAAAATGTATATCTGAATAAGTCTTTATTCTAAAAAAAAAAGTCAATTTTTTCTTGAATTGAGGAGCAAAGTGAGAAACTTTGCCAATGAAACAAGACAATTTACATTAAAAATCAGAAAAATCAATTGCATTGTCTTATTTCAAGTGCATAATATAAAATTTTCTTATTTTCAGAGTAAAAATATTAATTCCACTGGCAAATCATCTTATTTACCTGCTCAAATTAAAAGTAAATACACTCAATTTAAGAAAATTTTACTTATTTCTCAAGTGGTTTTGCAGTGCAGTGTCCAGTCGGCTCTTTGGCTTCATCCAAAACATTCAGAACATTTTTTCAAAGCAGAGGAAAAAGGAAACATGTTTTCCGGTCTGTGCTTCATCGGTATAGTGGAGGATGATCTGTTTCAGGTGGATCATCAAAATAAGTCAGAGGCCACGACCTAACCTAATTTAAAACTTTTATAAATTACTGCATGTTGTGCAGTAGTTTGTCCTGTTAATACGGTAAAGCCCTGGGGAGCGTCCGGCTCCAGGCTGCACGTGATCCAAATGAGCCAATGAGCTGCTGTCAGTCTGGGTTGCTGCTGCTGCTACTTTTAGACACAGCAGGCAAACCTGTGGCAAGCCGGGCGATGGGAAAGAAGGAGAAGACCATGAGAAAAAGAGAGCAGAGAAAGTGTGGACTGCTGGAAGAACTGCGGTGAACTGGTGAAAGAAAAGTGAAATGGTGCTCAAAGATGACCCTGAACATTTAGAGGATGTTTGGCTCAACCTGCTGCTGTGAAGCAGGATTCTCCACCATGAACAGAATCAATAATAAATCTGGATCCAGGCTCAGAATGAGCTCCTTGATATGTGCTTTAGAATGGCTTAGTCTCCGGTTAAACCCAGGTTTAAAGCCTTGCAGGGCAGCATAAAGCCCACTGCCAACATTAAGACAGAAAAAAGAAAGAAAATAACAAACCATCAGTTCAGGGGTTTGAGAAAATATGGGAATCAGGAAATTGTCTTTATAGACAAAATGTAAACAATTGTGGTTCTCAACAAAAAAACACTTTTCTATTTTTTTATATATTTATGTATAAATTCAATGTATTACATGAATGCATAAATACCTTATTTTATTTCAGTGTTAAATTCTGTTTAAAGTAACGGATTATAATTAAATATCTCTCTGGACCTTTACTGGATGTTAATTTTCTTTATTTAGACCCTGATGATTTTTAAATGCCCATTTTCACTTACCGGCGGTGAATCTGACATGATGGAAAAATTACAAATCTCCTTCTGGAAAGTGAGCTTGAATGAGCGATGCAAACAGCAACTTTTGAAGTCGTAGGGACGCGACTGTTCAAAACGTCGCATTTCTGAATTCTCCCGAGTGGTGCCCGACTTTAGACGAGTGAATAAAGTGAATGTGATTGGTTTAAATCAAGGGGGCGGGATTGTTGTGGCGGAAGGTTCTAAAGCAAGTTTGGTTGTGGCCGGTTTGTTGGAAGCATCTTGCTAACCAGTTAGCAACTTAGTGCTAGTAGGTTCCCAATGGGAAATTCCACTGGGACCAAGTAGCACTAAATTGGTGACTTAGAAACGACGCTGTCAAGGAACGCTATGGACAGAGGAAACATGCAAGAGGAGGAGAGTTTGGTGTCGGAGGTCGTGGATGAAGCTCCTCCGTCATCCATTTTTATTTAGAGGAGGAAAGCGGGGACGAAGATGTTGTGGAAGAGGACGCCAGGGCGGCAGAAGCTTGGTTTGGTGTAGAAGGCTTCCAGCCGTACATGTTTGAGCCCTTGCCTCGCAACGCTGCCAGTTCTGTTAGCTCTACGCCTGCTGAAGACACAGACGTCCATCCCCGTGAACACTGGGACGCAACTCAATGGGAAAGGAAAGGATTCTGATTTCAACCGCTGCGTATATTACTGCGACACATGAATCAAGATGCTATGACCGAAAACATGTGATTGACAGATGACCGTTGGTATATGATTGGCTGAATTTAGTTTTTGGCCAAATTTTAAGACAGGATTTTTTTTTTTAATAGAAATTTTCTGAATGATTTGACATTTACATATGATTTCCCTACGACTTTAAACAGAGCGTGCACGAGGAGAAATAGGCTCGTGCACGCTCTTGCATTCGTTTAACCGGTGTTCCCTCTCAGGAGCGGGTACAGGGTAGTGCATGTGCATTTTTTTAAAGTGGAGTGGGCAGGTCTTTTCAAAAATTTGGGAAAATCCTCCACTATTGACATTCTGTTTTGAGCAGCTAATGGTGTCGGCCATGTTGTTCAGAGAGTCTCTTTCTGGGTGCTTCCTGGTTCTGATCGGAGACCCACCTTTATACTCCGGGGTGAACTCCTTCATCTCAGGAGGCAGAGACTCGTAGAAGCGCTGCTCTCTGCTGATCAAAGGTTTGCACACAGTGTGGTCATCGTAGCGCATCATGCTGGTGTGCCCCCCCACCTGCAACACACACACATGCATTAAAAACCTGCCAGGATTTGTTTCCCACATCTCAGCCTCTTTGCTCCATCTGGACCCACCTGGTGGATGAAGGGCTCCAGAGAAACGCCTCCACCTCCTGGTTTGGGTAAAGCCCCGCCCCCTGCCCCCGCCCCCTGCTGCTTGCTGTCCATGTTGTTGGTTTGAGGGAGGCACATGGCTCCTGGCGGACGCACCGCGCTTCCTCCTACCGAGAGAAAAACAGAGGTGATGATGATAAAGAGGAATATCTACCGTTATAAATGTTACAAACAACAAAGAACCCATGAGGTTCCACTCTTACCCTGAACATGGGCCCTGTTGTGCAGTGATGGGGAGGGGGGGGCGCAGGGCACCACGGGCTGCTGGGAGCGCACGCCGGCCCCAGGGGGAGGCGGCGCCAGACCGAATAGCCACCTGACAAAGCGTCCAATGGGAGTCCTATCCACCGCAGACAGAAAAGCGATGTGGTGCGGTGGGGGGGAGGGGCAACGGAAGCGGGGGAGCGGCAGGAGACGCAGGGTGTTGGTTGGTCAGGGGGTCAGCGCTCACTGCAAACAGAGGAGAGGACAGACGGCAGCTTTTCAGTGATGTTTGTTCACTTTCAAACATCAGGAGGCCGATGGTGGATCCATGAGGAGCTGCAGCCTGGAGGAAACGACCAGCTGGTTCCAACATGACCTCTGTCCTGATTATAGGAAGGATGTGGGCTTGACCAGAGGTGGACATTTCCTTAGGAAGACGTGAGATCATTGTTAGCTACAATATTATGTTTCAGAGGTCAATTCAAACAATCAGAAAGTCTGATGCTACGTTCAGTTAAAACGCCATCAATGAAGCTTCAGCTGCTTCATCTCTGATGCTTTGATCCACATCAAGGTCAGACGTCCAGTAAAGTGAGTTAAGATGCGTCTGATGCTTCTGCTGCTCATGTTTTCAATGCCAGAGAGCGGCTTTGCTATATTTGCTATGATCAGCGGGTAAAAAGTAGTTTTAAAAGGGAAAAGGCCAGAAGTTCAATGGCAAATCCTCCCTCTTTAAGTTGGCGATCCAACGACCAACCCGTCCGTGGAGGATCAGGAATCAGAAAGGTGGAATAACTCTTTATTTTTCACTTTTACCCGATGTATTCCAGCATCCAGCTGCCATGCACGTGGGCATTGTCAGTTTCACTATAGCTCTGGTGAATTTCAATGGTGAAGTCCTCTGGAAATCTTCAATAATTGTTGTTGATTGCAGATGTGTCTAGTAGTTCCCATTGATTTAGCTTGTAAAGCGGGGAGAATGGCGCTAGGCTTACCGCACCGTGACGTCACTGCTGGAAGATGGCAGGAGGGAGGGGCTACTATATTTGGGTGAAAATGGACGCTCCCCGACTCGGTGATCGCCATGAAAATGATTGTTTTTATTTTTTTTTACTGATTAATGCTGATTTCAATAAATTACCGCGAACGTATTAGTTGTGCAGTAGTGTTCTTTGACAAACATGGATGCCTCCAATAAAGCACATTCACATGAAAATTACTCAATTAAAACATCATTTATTTAATTCAAAATCCTGTTACTTTTGAAGTTATTTACAACCTTTCCCTGCCATATGCCGATTCCCAACTGGCATACCACTGTTGGCTACCTATACGGCACTGGGACTTGATCAACAGCTGATACTGCACCATGACGTCACAAACCAGTAGGTGGCAGTAGTGTTCTTTGACCAACATGGATGCCTCCAGTAAAGCACATTCACATGAAAATTACTCTGAATTAAAAACACTGATCATTTATTGAACAGGATGGAATAACTTCAGATTTAAAGAACTTTCAGAAGTTTGGATTCTGAATATTGAGCGGACTTTTCCTTTAAGCCCATTTGTACACCCTGGCGTTTACTGCAGTTTGAGATTCATCTATTGAGATTTTATGTTTTTTCTCTTAAGGTGGAATTCCTGGCGCCCGTAGAGTCCTGATGCCGACTCTGCGCCTCACACTACACCTTGAGTTTGCAGGAGGTGAAGCGTTCAGGGCCACATGAGGTAAACGTGCGTGTGAACGGAGGGGGGTGATCGACCAGCATGTCATCGCAGTGGGAAATGCTTTCAGGCTTGTCTCATCACACGCTGCAAAAGTATAACCGCAGCGGAAACAAAAACTTATCAGATCTTCAGTCGCCGTGTAACCTTGACCAAGCGAGGGCCTCGTATGCAGGCGCTGTGTCCAGACCAGCGCACACAGTTTTCCCATGAGCAAAGGGTTTCACTCAGAGAAGCAGACTGTAAACATCAGGTCACATCTGCTCTGGGATCAGCATAACCTCTGAGACTCTCCACAGCCGCCACTCCAGCAAATGTGCCTCCAAGGAGCCGCAGTTTCCTCATTTTTTGGCGAAACCGTCCGCTAAACCAAACAGGTCTAATAGTTAAGTTTTGCTTCTAAAAAGCTGAACAGAAATGTTACCACCTTTATATCGACAATTTAAACTTAAGGCAATAACATCTCTGCAGGCAATCTGTGCTTGACATGGGAGCAGGATGGTCTGTCCCTGTATGATGGGGACAAGCAATGCAGCTTCAAAGCTTTCACTGCAAAAACGGATTGAAAATTATCTATCTGCCTTTTATTTGAGCAGGAAAATATGATGATCTACCAACAGAAAATACAATAAAAACATAAATAATTAACACATCCCTATTTTCTACTATGGTTGTTACCATACTAAAATTTCAAACTTAATATGGATATTCAGAAGAATATTTTTATTTTACTTGCATGTTGATAGAAATCTAAAAAAAAATCTATCTGAAAAAAAAAAAAAAAAGTTTACAGATTTTAAAATTTTATTTCAATTTAGTATTGGAAAAAAGTCAGAATTCGGACTTTAATCTCAGAATTCTGACTTTTTTCTCAGAATTCGGACTTTAATTTCAGAATTCTGACTTTTTTCTCAGAATTCGGACTTTAATCTCAGAATTTTGGATCTTAATGTAGATGGGCACCATGAAGGAAGAGATGTGGAGCACTCAGCTTCACTGACAAAGATGTGAGTTGTTTAAGGTGGGCGGCCAGTGAATTAGGCAACTTTTTACGTGCCTGAGGGATCTCCTCATTAATGGAGGAGCAGAAGGTCATTAAAACAAGAGAGCTAGTCTATAAAACAGACATGGCTATGGCTTGATGCTAACATGTTTGTTAGCTGTCAGAATTCTGAGAAAAATGTCAGAATTCTGAGATTAAAGTCAGAATTCTGACTTTTTTCCAATACTAAAATAAATTTTTTTTTAAATCAGTAAACTTTTTTTTCTTTTTTTTTTTCGACTGGCCCTAAGATTGCCTTTATTTGAGGTCATGAAAGAGGATTTCCTCTTTCATGACCTCAAATAAAGGCATGAAGAATATTTTACTAACATGAAAACTCACGTTTTTAACTCAACATGGAGCCTGTTTAATCAACAGGATCACAGGTTCTATTAGGTAAATAAGTCGGCCAATAAATGCGAAATGCAGTGGCGGTTCTAGACCAAATGTACCAGGGGGGCCAGGAGGGGGCCAGCGTGTTTTTATGGGGGCCCAGAAAAGCATGAAATAAAAAACAGGATAGCTGCATGAAGTGAGACTTCTATTCAGTTAAGTTTCATTAAAATTCTAAATGTCTTTTTAGGTGAATATACATTCAGAATATTGAAATTTTACATATTTATGACTTAATTTAAGTTGAAATTACAGTTTTCTATAAAATCTGAATTAGAGTTTAAGAAAAACTGTTAAATTCAGCTGTAAAAATTTTGATTATGTTATTAATTTGTTTTGAAAAAAACATTTAGCAGATGAAAACTAGGATCATATCTCAATCCCACTGAAGCCATCACCTTATTTAAAAAAAAAATAGTTAATCAAATACAATTTGTAAAGAAAACAAATTAAATATAGATCCAAAGGATCTTTCAGTAACCATGCTTGTTGCAGGGCAGATCATCTTTAGAAATTCTTTGTGTTATGTTTTCAGTACAGGGGCCATAACAGGGGCCAGGACATTATCTACAGGGGCCCTGGCCCCCGTTGGCCCCTGTCTAGAACCGCCCATAGCCAAATGAGAGCAAAACACAGTGGACAGAAACATCCAGTTCACCAAAGCCGGGCAGCCACTGTGCCATATTTTCAATGGTTGCATGCAGCTACAGCTCACACCGTACGATGAAACCTCAGGGTTTAAAAGTTCTCAGCGCACCATGTTTGTTCTCACACTTTCCGACCCAACGCTCTGATGCGATCAACCTGCTCACACTGTACGTCTAAAAACCAGGTGGGACTCGGCTCCGCGGTGAGATGGAGTCGACTGAATTTCAAACGCATTTGATTTTCTCCCGACTTTACGATTCCTGATGGGGAGGTGGTCGTTAGAGGCTGATCGCCCCTCGTTACCCCCTGTTCACTACACCACGCACCATCAGGCTGAAAGTCGGCCTGATGTCCGGCTTAGGGGACGATATGAAAGATGACAGCCATGTCTTCCTGGATGCACAGTTCTCATTAGGGGTGTAAATAATAAACGTTTTGTATCGATGCATCGATCCAACAGCCGACGATACGATGCATCGACACATCCGCAAGAGAATGGAATCATGTTTTTTTTTTTTTCTCCGGTCTGTTTTTATCCATTTGCTCCTGGGCGTAATTCTCCCTCCCGTGCTGCGGTGGCGCTAAACCTATTTTGCCCTCCTACCTCGCTTCCTGGTTATACTCTTACAGCAGTGTGTTGCAGTGAGCTTCACACAGACATTTTTAAATTATGCTCAGTATTGAAGCGTGGTCTGAGCTACACACTGTGGGTCTAGATACGGCCGAGGCGGCGAGGAAGTGGGGACGAGTTTAGTCCGACGACGGAGTGACATGAGGGCCAAAAAGAGCGAAGATCCAGCTGGAAAAAGGGTCCCAGCGTTCTTGTGCACCCCGCTCTTCTAGCGGGTCAAACTTCATGAGTTGTTTTCTGCAATTTCTGTCTGTAGCACTGTCTGCGGTCAGCTACAATTTGGGAGAGGTGCAACGGAGCGTCTCTCAAGGGGGCGGGATGTCTGGAGCCGAGGTATTGCATTGCACTCATTGCACCGATTCTGTGCTGTATTTTTTGATGTAACTTTTCTACTTCTGTTATTTGCTATTGTTTAAAAAAAATGCATAACGATATTACAGCTTTCATTGATTTATTTCAAACTTGAAACTTTGTTTAGCCTGTAAGGTGCAAAAAAAAAAAAAAATATTTACTGATTAATCGAATCGTATCATGGTGTATTCTTGAGTATCGAATATAATCAAATCGTTGGGTCAGGAAATCGATACTGAATCGAATCGCCATGATGGATGTGATTTACACCCCTAGTTCTCATCATGGAACTGAAACCCCCCCCTGAAACACAAACTAGGCATCATCAGAGCCCCCCCAGACATGATCAGAAACTATTCCCACCACCACCAGAGGAAGGTTAGAGAACTCATCAGGACATCCCTGAAGAACTGCGGTTATCCCAGATGGGCTTTACTAAAAACCAACAAGAAGAGG